ACACCCCAACTACCTCCCCAATCTTGAGCAAATCGCCCCCCCAACCCCCAGCCCCATAGACCCCCCAGGAATCAGCCACAGCGGCAGAAAAGGAGGCAAATAAGCAGTGAAAAGGAGGCAAATAAGCAGTGAAAAGGAGGCAAATAAGCAGTGAAAAGGAGGCAAATAAGCAGTGAAAAGGAGGCAAATAAGCAACGAAAAGGGAGGCAAATAAGCAGTGAAAAGGAGGCAAATAAGCAGTGAAAGGGAGGCAAATAAGCAGCGAAAAGGGAGGCAAATAAGCAGTGAAAAGGAGGCAAATAAGCAGTGAAAGGGAGGCAAATAAGCAGCGAAAAGGGAGGCAAATAAGCAGCAAAAAGGGAGGCAAATAAGCAGCGGAAAAGGAGGCAAATAAGCAGCGAAAAGGAGGTAAATAAGCAGCAAAAAGGGAGGCAAATAAGCAGCGGAAAAGGAGGCAAATAAGCAGCAGAAAAGGAGGCAAATAAGCAGCGGAAAAGGAGGCAAATAAGCAGCGGAAAAGGAGGCAAATAAGCAGCGGAAAAGGAATCAAATAAGCAGCGGAAAAGGAGGCAAATAAGCAGTGGAAAAGGAGGCAAATAAGCAGCGAAAAGGGAGGCAAATAAGCGGCGAAAAGGAGGCAAATAGCAGTGGAAAAAGGAGGCAAATAAGCAGTGAAAAGGAGGCAAATAGCAGCGAAAAGGAGGCAAATAGCAGCGAAAAGGGAGGCAAATAAGCAGCGGAAAAGGAGGCAAATAAGCAACGAAAAGGAGCAAATAAGCAGCGAAAAGGAGGCAAATAAGCAGCGGAAAAGGAGGCAAATAAGCAGCAAAAAAGAGGCAAATAAGCAGCGGAAAAGGAGGCAAATAAGCAGCGGAAAAGGAGGCAATAAGCAGCAAAAAGGGAGCAAATAAGCAGTGAAAGGGAGGCAAATAAGCAGACAAAAAGGAGGCAAATAGCAGCGGAAAAGGAGGCAAATAGCAGCGAAAAGGGAGGCAATAAGCAGCAAAAAGGGAGGCAAATAAGCAGCAAAAAGGGAGGCAAATAAGCAACGAAAAGGAGGCAAATAAGCAACGAAAAGGAGGCAAATAAGCAGTGAAACAGAAGGCAAATAAGCAGCAAAAAGGGAGGCAAATAAGCAGCGGAAAAGGAGGCAAATAAGCAGCGGAAAAGGAGGCAAATAAGCAGACGAAAAGGAGGCAAATAAGCAGCGGAAAAGGAGGCAAATAAGCAGCGAAAAGGGAGGCAAATAAGCAGCGGAAAAGGAGGCAAATAAGCAGCGAAAAGGGAGGCAAATAAGCAGCAAAAAGGGAGGCAAATAAGCAGCGGAAAAGGAGGCAAATAAGCAACGAAAAGGAGGCAAATAAGCAACGAAAAGGAGGCAAATAAGCAGTGAAACAGAAGGCAAATAAGCAGCAAAAAGGGAGGCAAATAAGCAGCGAAAAGGGAGGCAAATAAGCAGCGAAAAAGGAGGCAAATAAGCAGTGAAACAGAAGGCAAATAAGCAGCAAAAAGGGAGGCAAATATGCGGCGAAAAGGAGGCAAATAAGCAGTGGAAAAGGAGGCAAATAAGCAGCAAAAAGGGAGGCAAATAAGCGGCGAAAAGGAGGCAAATAAGCAGTGGAAAAGGAGGCAAATAAGCAGTGGAAAAGGAGGCAAATAAGCAGCAAAAAGGGAGGCAAATAAGCGGCGAAAAGGAGGCAAATAAGCAGTGGAAAAGGAGGCAAATAAGCAGCGAAAAGGGAGGCAAATAAGCGGCGAAAAGGAGGCAAATAAGCAGCGAAAATGAGGCAAATAAGCGGCGGAAAAGGAGGCAAATAAGCATCCCCCCAGAGCCAGACCCGCGGCCTGGAGAGACAGCATCTCGGGACAGCTCACGAACCTCCCTCTCGCCTCGGATCTCGCTTCTCTAAACCTATTTCTCCTCCTCCACCTCGCCCTTGAACCACTCTAGACTCACTCGGGAATAAACTTCAGGCTCCTCGTGGATTTAATGAGAGGGAAATGGGAGTCTGAACATGTAAACAAACAATCCCTTGCTCTTGTTGCCTCTCGCACAGCTGACAGTGACGTCATCAACGCGTCACAGAAAATGGGAAATTTCTCTCCGATTTTACATATATTTTCCCTTAAATTGTAATAAATCATTCGCAAAAGGTAAAATTCATATCACACATCAATGGTATTTTAATAAGGAATCTCAGGAGATCTTATTTATCTATTTATCGGTTGATGATTTTTGATGGTTTTCAGCGTTTTATATGAACTTTTTTTTTGAGAAACTTCAACCGGCATTTCTGTGACATTAAAAGAAAAAATTGAAAAGGGGAAATAATTTGTGATTTTTGGATTTTTCCAGAAATAAAATCATATTTACCTATTTGGGAAACTGAATAAGTCATGGTAATGATAATAATAATGATAATGATAAAAAACCATGATGATGATGATGATTATAATAATGATAATAATGATAATAATAATAGTAATAATATGAATAACAATAGTGATAATTATAATGATAATAACAATAGTAAATAATAACTTTCATAATGATAATATAATGATAATAGTAATAATAATAATGATAATAATGATAGTAATAACAATAATAAGTCATGAAATAATAATAACAATACTAATAGTAATGCTAATATTATCATTATTGTTATTATCATTACCATTATCATCATGATTATTATCATTATCATTTTTATTCTTATAGGTATTGTTATTATCATTATTATTATTATAATCATTACTGATATTGTTATTATTATTATTATTATTATTTTATTATTATCATCAATATCATCACTATCATCATTGTTATTATTACTATTATTATTATGATAATAATAATAATAATAATTATAATAATAATTATTATCATTGTTATTATTATCTTTTATTATCATTATCATAAATATGTTTATCATTATCATTATAATCATCATTATTATTATCATCATTATCATTATTATCAAAATTATCATTATCATTATTATCATTACTATTATTTAGAAGAAAACTGAAACAGACAGTATGTCACACTAAGAATATCCATTGTAGCGAATGAAATCAAACAAAGTTATTAATTATTAATATCATCATTATAATTATTATTATTATCAAAATTATCATTATCATTATTATCATTTTATTACTATCATTACTATTATCAAAATTATCCTAATTATCACTATCGTAGTTATCATTATCATTCTTACCTTATTATTATTATTATTATTATTATTATCGGTATAATTATCATTATTAATAACATTATTATTTTCAATTGTCTTTATGATTATAATTGTTATAATCAATATTATAACTATTATCATTATCATTATCATCACCCCTATTATTCTGATTATCATTATTATCCTTCGGATCATTATTCTCATTGTCATCATTATTAATAGTGGTTGATGTGTGAATCGGCCCCATGCTGTGGCTGCCTTTTGGACGCTGGGGGAAAAGCCTCCGAAATGGCTCTCCCTCGTGAGATCCTGACAAGGCCTAAGGAAAGTCCCCGGCCTGGTGAAGCTTTGAAAAAACAGCGTGCTCGCGTCAGTTTTCAGAGAACCAGCCTCGTGAGAATGGTTCACTTGTGGGTAATGGACCTCAGTCCTCAGACTTGATTACGAAGTGATTGCAAATACCTTCTGGCTCTTCCTTGCTGACAATTTAATTGATTAATTAATCATTTCATTTAGTTTTATTAAATTTGTTACAAAGGTGTTGATACACTTTCAGGAAACCAGGAAGCGGAAAGGACTTGACTCACCGAGACTCTGGCCGTGCCCGCTGTCCTGGTCTGATCGAATTCACGTTCATGAAATTGACGGGAAGAATAACTAGCCATCCAGAGTTTTGGGTGAAGGCAGCGACAGAGAGGGCCACCACAGGATTAGCTTCCCGGGAAATATCACAACCTTCATGGATGGCTCAGTTGCTCCTTCCCTTCACTCCACAGGCGCCGAATTTGCAAAGAAGGTACGAAGCTTCGTCCACGCGGGTCTCGAACTCCTCATGATTGTAGGCGGAGGATGGAGCCATCATGGAAGACTTCCTGCGTCCCTGAAGAGGGCTTTATGATATTCGGCTGTCATGAATCCAGGGCAGTCGTGAGCAGCCTGCGCCACAGCATGCCTCATAATAACTAATATGCACTTGTTATGGTGTTCCTTTCCTTAGTAAAGTATTAGACAAGGCAGATGCGTTATTTTAAACCGGGTCCCCAGACACATCGGTATGCATGGAACCGAACTTGCTGACTGACTGACTGGGAGTGCATCGAAGGGAACAACCAGCTTTTGGTATGAACTAGTCGCAACACCAATTATGACTTTTAGGGGAGCTGAGGGGCAGCTGCGGCACATCTTTCAGAGTATAAGAAGGGCAACCATCGTTTATGACAAGTCACAGACAGGATTTGCCATGATTAAGAGTACTGTTATGAGCACAGCATTGCACCAGATGCCATCCTGCCACACTGCCCACATCGAGCAAACAACAGGACTTATTCGGACCGTGGGCCAGGGAACGTGGAAGACCGTTGTTGGATTGGTGAGATGACTAGACTGTCGCTTCATTTGAAGACGCTGCCGCACCGAGAAGCGGAAAGTGGTAAGCCGTGCGAGGCTCATTTTTGCAAAAATCACGGAACTAAACAGACGTTCCTGGAAGTATAATTATATCTGACCCCACAGTGCTATTGTCATCATCAATATAATCTGATTTATTAGCATTGTGACAGATATCATCACCCACCCCTTTAGCATGACGACTACCACTTACTATAAACTATAGTACTATTGTTATAAAACATTCCCTCTCGACGTAAATTCAAGGGTAACAGTGAGCCCCTTTCCGCCATCAGTGGGACACAGAGCCACCGACGGACTGGTCAGCCGCCCATTGGTTTCCTTCCGCCGATTCCCGCAGCCTTATTAGACTTTTCCCGCATCAATAAACTTCCTGATTTCAGCTTTTTAAAATGATTACCATAAGCAGATACCCTCCTTGCTACCTACATCCTTTAAATATTACTTTATGCTCGTCACCTCTCTCACAACTCATCTGACCTGACCTGACCTCTTTCACTTTTGCTTCCTTGTATCTGGTTTCTATTTTTTTTTTGTTCTTTTCCCCACTTATTTCGTCCCTCTTTTGAATACTACGTCGGGTCTGGAATCACATAGAGTAGTTCTTTTTATGTTCGTGCATATTTAAGAATTTTCAGTTTAAAAAGTCGAGTTAATGTATCCAGTTGATGCCCCTTTTTTGTGAATTAAAAATTTCCAGAATCCGAACTTCTTGATTATTTTATGGATATTACATAAAACTATTTTATATTTTATTAGCAAGCCCTTTCACTTGGCATATATTTGAATTCCAAAGGAATTGGACGAAAATAGTGTAAGCAAGAAGTGCGACTTGGTGTATTGCAAAGGCCAGGAGAGGAGTCGAGAGAGAGAGAGGGAGGGAGGGAGAGAGAGAGAGGGGTAGGGAGGGAGAGGGAGAGAGGGGTAGGGAGGGAGAGGGAGAGAGGGGTAGGGAGGGAGAGGGAGAGAGGGGGGGAGGGAGAGGGAGAGAGAGGGAGAAAGAGGGGGGGAGGGAGAGGGAGAGAGAGGGGGGGGGGGAGGGAGAGGGAGAGAGAGGGGGGGGAGGGAGAGGGAGAGAGAGGGGGGGAGGGAGAGGGAGAGAGAGGGGGGGAGGGAGAGGGAGAGAGAGGGGGGGAGGGAGAGGGAGAGAGAGGGGGGGAGGGAGAGGGAGAGGGAGAGAGAGGAGGGGAGGGAGAGGGAGAGAGAGGGGGGGAGGGAGAGGGAGAGAGAAGGGGGGAGGGAGAGGGAGAGAGAGGGGGGGAGGGAGAGGGAGAGAGAGGGGGGGAGGGAGGGAGGGAGAGAGAGGGAAAGCAAGAGAAGGAAGGAGAGGGAGGAGAGAGTGGGAGAGGGAGAGGGAAAGAGAGGGGGGGGAGGGAGAGGGAAAGAGAGGGGAGGAGGGAGAGGGAAAGAGAGGGGGGAGAGAGAGGGAGAGAGAGGGGGAAAGAGTGGGGGAAGGGAGAGGGAGAGGGAGAGAGAGGGGGGGAGGGAGAGGGAGTGAGAGGGGGAGGGAGAGGGAGAGGGAGAGAGAGAGGGGGGAGGGAGAGGGAGAGAGGGGGGAGGGAGAGGGAGAGAGGGGGGGAGGGAGAGGGAGAGAGGGGGAGGGAGAGGGAGAGAGGGGGGAGGGAGAGAGAGAGAGAGAGAGAGAGAGAGAGAGAGAGAGAGTGAGAGTGAGAGAGAGAGAGAGAGAGAGAGAGAGAGAGAGAGAGAGAGAGAGAGAGAGAGAGAGAGAGAGAGAGAGAGAGAGAGAGAGAGAGAGAGAGAGAGAGAGGGTGTACAATATACATAGGAAACAGTAAATGTTTAAAGAAATAAGAGATTTAGGCACAGCTTAACATATAATTTTCATTAAAACAGCCACATCACAAGTTAACATCATAGTTTACATCCTGTACATTATTACAAATATAGTCTAAGGGTCATTTCAACTGCAGTCATCTTTGAGAAACAAAACATGATTATTGAAACACACCTTTTCAACAAGTATTTTATTTTTTTTCTTATTATAACAACTATGCTCGCATATAATCCCAAAGACAGTTATTAGTTTGATATAAACAATTCTATGGAATGATTCTATATACTGTGAATGTGAGGATGGAAAGCGAAAGCAGAGAAGGTTATAAGAATAGTTTTTTTTTTACATATTAAAAATATAGACAAACAAGAACGTTGAAAAATACTTCTTACATTTGAGCAAAATGTCTTATCTACAAATGAAGAAAAATATATACTCAGCTCTCTTGTCAAGTTGCAAAAATATATTATTTGAAACGCTTATGTTTAATTCATTATTTCTCTCATATAATATTTTTTCTGTGAAGAATTCCGGTAACCTGGAATGCATAACACTTGTTTATGTTAGCTTTCTTGTCTGATTGTCAGGTCACTATATGCACAAAATGCATACAAATCATATTTTAATACAATGACTTTGCATCTCCAAATCTGACAGATCAACCTCATGCAAAACTGGAAACCTATTTCCTTACTTTTGAGAGACAAGTAACCCAAGCCACATGTGCAATGACATACAGTATGGTCAATGGACACATATTCATTTAAACACTCTATTTTGGAAGAGCTGTTAAACCGGATAAAAGCCAGAAACAAAGCTAAATATCTGTATCTGTAAAATGAGTATTCCACTTTCTCACTGCATGACAAGCTCAGGAAAAGAGTTTTCTTAGCTGTACTTTTCCATTTTATCTTAATGATTTCAAAAGAATACCTGGACTGATGAGCAATCATTATTATGTAGGATTCACTCTGTTCCCAACCAAATGAACAAATCTTCCCTTGAAAGCAGTCTGTAAAGAATGCTGATATCCTGGTAGAAAAAGCCACTCTATACTAACTATTGTTGTACCTTGAGTTTCCCTGCCACTGTCAGTATTTTGAAGATAAATTTCTATTCATAAATCTTGTATCAGCATAACAAAAGTCAGGTCTAAATCTGATTGCTTTTTATTACTCTGTTGCAGCTATTGTAGAGACCTGTGCATACAAACAATATTTCCAGTGGTGACAAAAGCAAAGCATGCGCATCTAAAAGCAGCAACAGTTATGCATCAATACCTCACATTAAATAAAAGAAAAAATAACAATAATACACAAGAGTATAAATAAGCAACAAGGATGGCTGAAGGGCTCATTTTTAACCACCCTAAACAATATTTTTGATGTGGTATTTGGTACTGTTAATGGGTTTGGTCATTAAGCAGAAATCACCAAATTGAAGCTGTCGTCATCGTGGGACGAAGTTCCATTTTCTTGGGTCTGTTTGGCCCCAATCTGCAGTGATGCTTCCTGGACTGAGAGTCTGGCTGCCTTGTGGACTTCGTTCTCACACCTCAAGAAGTGGAAAGAAATCATTAAATATATCCTAAGTGGAACAGGAATTTCATTAACATACATTTAGTTGTACACACACAAATACACACACATATCCCTCCCATCCCCAAAAACACACATGCAAATATAACAACACCAACAAAGAGACATAATCCAACACTAACTGTTGTATGCGATGTGTTGTGTTTTGCAGTTCTCCCAGAAGGCTGATGGTTGACTGAAGGTGGTTAGAACGGGTATCTAACAGGCCTTCCAAGTCTTTCAGAAGGGAAACTTGGTCGGTCAAAGCATCGGACAGTTGATCTGCAAATAACGTACATGCAAGAACAGTTAGAGCCACTAGCAGTATATGTCTGCATAAATGTTATTTCTAATGGATTTTTAAAACTTGTAAGTATGCAAAAAACATGCAGAAACATGTGAAAACTTGCATCTAAACCTAAAAGTGTATATGGTAAAATTGCTTTCAACATGTAGAATGTGAATAACTGTATCAAGAAAATCCATTCAGGAAGAGAAGTATGTATACAATTTATGTTTTATAAATATTTGACAAAGTTTTAGCCTGAAAGGATTTACGGCACCTTTGCATACAGGAAGACCAGCAGAATGAACATGCGGAAAGCAACAGGTGGGAACACCAATGAGGCAAAAGTCACTTAACTGGCATTCCTCTGTGACAACCCTCATCATACCCTTTCTGTCTGATTCCATGCAGGTCATTTGTCTTCCAGATAATACATTCTAAATTAAGCAAATATGTAAATTAACCATAGTGTGCATTCAGAGCAACTCTGCACCACTGAATATAATTTTTCTATCCATTCATACACTTCCTAATGTATTTAAGACCTTGGGTTTGGGGAAGATACATCTTTTTCACTCACATTTACATGTCTTAGGAGTCGGATGAAGAAATAACAAACTTTGCAAAATGATTCAACTATGCAATACCTTAAGCACCAAAATATTTTCTGGTGTTACTTTCATGTAAGAAGTGAGTGAAACACTCTTACCTCGGTACTGTTTGTGGTTCTCCGGTACATAGAGGTTATCCATCTTCACCTGGTGTAATGATTTTTCTAATTCTCGGCTCATTGTCTGCATGGCTTCTTCACTGGCTGGAAGGGCATCTAAGGAATGGAAACATGGAGGGAAAAATGAGAAATATGGGACACGTTTACCATTGCCCAAATACGACATTTGGGTAATTGAGCACAATCAAAGTTGCTTCATAAAAAATGATAAATAAATAAATAAATATAATACTATAGAATAAAATGGATAGGTATATTGCACTGGCAACAAAAAACCTACCGATAAGACTCTGAAGTAACTCTGTTTGGTTCTGCCTTGCCTCTGCAACATGCTGGTGGTGAACAACTAACTCGGTCATCTGCCTACGCTCACTCAGCTCATTCTGTTTCTCACTGATCAGCTGCTCCAAGAACATTATTTGTGTCTGGAAGCAAGAGTATTAATATCATAAGATTTAGTTACTCGCAGTGGAAAAAGCTCTCTGCAGATTCTATGTAAATTAAAGTGCATATATCTCAAGTCTGACAAATACACAATTACATTTCACTTTTTATTCTTGTAATTAAATTTCTTTTACTAATTTAAATGGGAATAAATATATTAACACCTTTAGCTATGGTATAAACACAAATATCATATAAAAGACCTCGGCATCCTTGATCTGATCTAGGAAGACACTCTTGCTGCTAAGGTTCACTTGTGCCCACTGCATGTAACGCAGGTATTCCAGCTCCAGTTCCTCGGCTGTTACTTCATGCATGCTGCAGTCATTGCTGTCTTGCTGTTGGGATTCAGAAAAATGCCGTTAAAGCATAGTATTTACACAAATTTCTCACTGTCAGGTCAAGTTCTCTTCTCTTATACAGGTTTATATTATATAAGGTGACATAGATGTTCCTCCCTTATAACACAAAGTCAAAATTACAATATACAAAATCATGTCAAATTGAATAGGAAGAAATTAGACCATTTTCTTTAAAGGAACTTCTCTTGAACTATATTTCTATGCCATTGAGAATTACATAGCTGAACAAGTATTTCACTTACCGTGGAGTCTTTTTCACTGACAACTGACAAAACAGTAGCGTCACCACTCCTATTCTCGTTGCTGACACTGTCCAGTCTAATGGCGGATATGTCAGGGAGCTCAGGCAAGGTGACACACGTCAAATCTAGGTTACGACCACCTGGCGCCATTCCACCTACCAGCGTTGTGCTGTGGAATTTAAGTTATGTGAACTATAAATCTCAGGTAAGTCTACTGAAGTCCAGAAGGTCAAATTCTATTGTGGAGGGTTTGGGGACAATTTATAATCTTACTAATTGTCAAAAATAATGCAAAACTTCACATCAGTCTGCCTTACCTAAAAACATTACTTGAGTCCTCCTTGTGTGTTTTGTCCCCAAGGACTGTTGCATTGAGGACTGTGGAATGCAGCTTGTGTTTGTTGGCTCGCACAGCCATGGGTTTTGAAGGGCGTGTCATCCCTGTGGGCCCGTGGCTTGCAAGATTAGTTGCTGACTGGCTGACCTGCGTACGTGGACTAGACTTATTTGGGGCACGACTGGGCAAGACCCCTGTCTTTGCAATATTTACTGTTGAGCGGCTGATCGGCCCACTTGCTGCTGGTGCCATGGATGCTCTGTTTGCGGAGGATGAGGTACTGTAAATGTGTTGCCTGTGGTTCTCTTTTAATAACAAATATACAAGGAATGAATGTGTATATCACCCAGTGCATTCATAAGAGAAAAAATAACACACTTCCATAGCAAGGTAGAAAAAATAAATATTTATCAACACCAAATCACCAACACAAGAAGGGAAATATATATACAGGTCCGGGAACAATTCATAATAATGTAACACAGAAAAAATTTAAATATATGCAAGGCTTCTTAAAAGGATGGATGATTCTACGAATTTCAGAATAAGAAATTAAAAGGGATAGAGAAAAAAGTAAAGAATGGGCCAGAAAGAATGCCATATTTCTAGGACACAAAATTCCAAGAATACATTACCACACACTAACAGAATAACAACAAAAGAAGAAAGAAAACAAAGAAAGTCCTACCCAGTGGACCAACTACCCAAGCAAGAGCACGTACCTGACTGGCCTCCCCTTGGTGGGGCCCTTGGTCCCAGCAAGAGAAGTCGTGGACCCGCCTACAAGGGTGGTGTTCAGGCAGCCGCTCCTACTACTGGGACTGCCCAGGCTGCTGTTGTTGTTCGACCCGTTTCTGCTGCCGCTGCTGTTCCCACTGTTGTTCTTTGCTGCAGCTGCAGCCGCCTTGAAGCGGGACTGAACCACTCGCAGGGGGGGTTTCTTCTTGACCCTCTCATTGCTGCAAGGGAGGGGGGTCAGCTTCAGGAGTCTATTCACTGTCTTCCCTGCTGCCTTTTCTTTATGATACTCTCATAAGAATCAAAATCTGTATCTTCCTTACATTTACAAAATATTGTATACTTTTTGCTAGAATTCTGATTATCTTAAGAGTTTTTAGAAGGTCATTAGGAATAAATTAAAAAGATAAAAATGAATAAGCAGGATAAAAGAAGTCAAAAACCATATCAACATACTCAAAATATTAGTCTATAACCTTAAAAATAAGAAAAGGAAAAGAACGTTGAAGAGAAAAATCAGTAATTAATCATCCTTATTATTTTTCTCCAAAATTCACAAATCCACCGTTCTTACTCTAACAGCCGATCTTTGTTCAACCGACTCTCTTTTGGCACAGCATTACCTTATGCTGGCAGCTTCTTTCTTCTTGGCCAGGCTGCTGCTCCCCGACTTGCCGACCCCATTCACGTCCGACTTCTTGCTGCTGCTTGCTTCTGCCTTATTGCTGCTGCTGAGGTTTGATTTGCTGCTCCCGTTGCTTGTGTTTGATTTGTTGTTGCTGCTGCTTATGCCCGATTTACTGCTGCTGCTGAGGTTTGATTTGTTATTGCTAGTGTTTGTAGCAGACTTGTTATTGCTGTCGCCTGCGTCAGATTTATTGCCGTTGCTTATATTGGACTTGTTGTTGCCGTCGCCTGCGTCAGATTTATTGCTATTACTTATATCGAACTTGTTGCTGTCACCTGCGTCAGATTTGTTGCCATTGCTTATATTGGACTTGTTGTTGCTGTCGCCTGCATCAGATTTATTGCTGTTGCTTATATTGGACTTGTTGCCATCGCCTGCATCAGATTTGTTGCCGTTGACTATATCTGACTTGTTGGAGAGGTCAGCAGCAGCTGAGTCACCAGAATCTGCAATTGTGTTGAGATATAAGAACAAGATATAAGAAGAGGATCAAGAAAGCAGAGGCAGAGGAGGTGAAGGTAGGAGATGAGGAAATGAAAGAGGAAAAGGAGAAAGAGAAGAAATTATCGGCTCTATAGTGCATGAAGTGTTGAGATAACTCGATGCGAGATTTAAACCTAAAGCAAGTATCGTAATACAGAAATATAAGTAATATATACATAGTACACAATATATAATAGGCATTATACTT